CGTGTGCTCTTCCGATCTTTCTGGAATAAATAATATTTAAGATCACAACATTTGTTGCATTACAAATAGTTATGCCATGAAGAATAGTAGCATTTAAATTTCAATTCAACTTCTTAAAGGGTCTAACCACTCTGACTGGGTCTAAAATAAGCATAAATTCAAGATTTTTTTTAAATCACTGCGTAGAATTTTTTTATATTTTGAGGCTTTAATATACAACATAAAAACTATAAATTTATAAATTTTTGAAACAACTGGGCTAAAAATTATGCTGCAGAACAATTCCCGCAAAGCTCTCTCGCCACGTCAGAGTCGGACGGGGAGGGTGGTTTGAAATTAAAAAAACCAAATATTTTATTATAAACAGATGTTATGGCTATTGTGTAGCGTAGAGGTTTTTTTTTTTGAAAATTATGGGAAGGTTATGAATTTGAAAAAAAAAGTTGTTTTGACCTTAAAATATGAAATTAAAAAATTTATTATAAACAAATGGATTAATATATCGAAAAAACCCTACGCCACACAATAGATAATCTTTTTAAGAATATTTCTGCCAAAAATGAAGTTAATCGGACTATTAGTTTCCAAAAAAAGTTTACACCGTCTTGAAAAACATGATTTCGACAGTGAATTTCACTGTCTTCATTGAGAATTGTAAAGAAAAATGATTCTGGACTTTTCGACTAACAATAAGTCTTTTTATAAGAATAATGCTATATAATTACTAAGCACGTACACTACGTATATAAAGAATCGTGAGATGCATAGAAAAATATCAATAAATGCGATTATGATTTTTTATTACAAACGTGCATCGTATTTTGATAAGTATGTGACATTGCAATAATAGACAGCTTTTATTGTACAATAGATATTAAAAACAATCACGCACTGCATGTTTTGCGCATTTTCTATATCCCATGTACAATACATATCTTATATTTAAATTTAGAACTTTTTTATTGGTATTTTATTCAGCAGCTATTATTTTATATTTTTCGTCAACAAACTAAGAAATAACTCTGTTTAATAAGTTAAAAGAAAAATTATTATTTATTACAGTTTTCAAGTTTCAACTTTGTGTGTAATAAATTAATGATTAATTTCAAAATAAGCAATAAAATTAATTTATATGCAACATTCTGTATATACGAAATATTATATCATTTTATTTTAATGATTGTTTAGAATATTAACAAAATAATTTTATTATACCCAAGATTCATCACAATAAGAATACATCCAGCACACGGAACATCGAAAGTATCTGAGACTGCAAATTTTCCATTGATAGCCGGGATAATAATTGCAACAACAATCGCAATTATAGCAAATATTAAATTTACAACTTTTATTTGCAACTTCTTGCGTATAGTTTACTTGATACATAATCATTTACATATTCAATACAGTCATCTGATTAATTTATAGGAAAATTTATATGAATAATAAAATATATTAAAAACATAAAATAAAAAACGTAAACGTTTTAATTTTTTAATTATAATAAAATAAATCAAGCATCGTAAGATACACAGTAATATTTCAGAAATTTTGGCGGTAGATAGAGATGACACGTTGTTATAAATGTAAAATAAATATTGAAGAAATCGTTTAACTTCTTTGCGCATCTACTATTATATGTTGTATATAAATAATGATTTGGATTGTAAATGTATAAACATAAATCATATCTTTATTTTTTAAATAATTTTTACGAATAGTTCTGTTTTATCAACATTCAAATAAAATATGGATAAATTTTTAAATTTTCTGGGTTAAATAATATTTAAGATATCTTGATCACGATTTTTGTTATATAAATT